TGAAAGTTCAAGGCTGAACCTCAGACGAATCCCTCAGTTCATTTAAGAAGCCTCAACGCCTTTAACAACAAAGTTTTGGACACGCAAAAGGAGCAAAACCTTCCCAAATCCAAGAAAAAGCACAAAGGGAGCCGCCTGCTGGAGCAGATCCTGTCCTGAGGATCCGATTGATTTGTGGTTGTTGGAAAACAGCCCCGGCAGCCTCGGGACCCTCCAGATGCGGGAAAAACGGGATTAAAAATTCGCCTGGTGCCATCCCAAGGCAAATCCATCTCCTGGGGCAGGTCCCGTGGGAGCTCTGGGGGTGCTCATGAGCAGAATCCCCGAGAACTGCGGGCAGTTTCTATTCAAATAAATCTCTAAATATGAATTTGTCAGTGATCTCCTCCAGCTCTGGTGTCTCCCAACCCCTTTGCCTGCTGGAATATCAGCCCTGACGCCTCCTTTAATTCCCAAACCCATCCCCTTCAGCCGGGCCTGGTTTTTTCACCCTTAAAAAGGGAAACAAAAGATTTCCCTCAAATCCCCTGCGGGCTTTGTTGATTTTACAGGAGGTGTTTGGTTACAGCCGCCGGTTTGTGCGAACGTGCCCCAAACTCGGCTTTTCCAGCCCCTTTTTCCCTTCTGCGGCCTCAGGTTTGGGAATTATCCCCCCGAGCTTGGGAAAGCTCAGGAGCTGCAATGGCTGAGCCTGGGTTTGGGCAGAGAAAGGGAATTTTGGGCAGAATTATGGAGGAATTGGGAATATCCTGAGCTGGGAGGGACCCACAGGGATCATCGAGCCCAAACTCTGCCCTGGGGGATCCCAGCAGTCCCAGCCCGTCCCTGGGGGCTTTGCCCGGAGCTCTCACCATTCCCAATTCCAGGCTTTTATTCCTGGGGAAAAAAAAAAAAAAAAAAAAAAAAAAATCCTTCCTTATTTCTGCCTTTATTTGGGGGAGTTTCCTGGGATTTGTGGCTGGAGCTCCAAGGAAAATCCCGGTGTTGTTGGGGATTTCAGGTGAGCCCCGTGCCCTGCGAGCCCAGGGCTTCCCCCAGGGCGGGGAAAAGGGAATTCCCTGTGGAACTGCAGGGGAAAATGGAATTCCATGTGGAATTGGAGGGAAAAGGGAATTCCTGTGGGATTGCAGGGGAAATGGAATTCCGTGTGGGAGTTGCAGGGAAAAAGATCTTGTGGAATTCAGGGAAAAGGGATTTTCCTGTGGAACTGCAGGGGAAAAGGGAATTCCCTGTGGGATTCACGGGTGAGGAGAATTCCCTGTGGATTTACAGGGAAAAGGACCCTGTGGGATTGCAGGGGAAAGAGAATTCCCTGTGGAATTGCAGGGAAAGGGAATTCCATGTGGAATTCAAGGGAAAAGGGAATTCCATGTGGAATCACAGGGAAAAGGGAATTCCCAGTGGAATTGCAGGGAAAAGGACCTTGTGGAACTGCAGGGAAAAGGGAATTTTCTGTGGATCTGCAGGGAAAAGGACCCTGTGGAATTCAGGGGAAAGGAATTCCCTGAGGAACTGCAGGGGAGAGAAATTCCCTGTGGATTTGAAGGAGAAAGGGAATTCCATGTGGAATTGCAGGGAAAAGGAAATTCCCTGCAGAATTTCAGGGAAAAGGAGTTCCCCTGTGGAATTGCAGGAAAATTTAATTCCCTGTGGAATTGCAGGGGAAAAGAATTCCCTGTGGATTTGAAGGGAAAAGGACCCTGTGGAATTGCAGGGAAAAGAATTCCCAGTGGAATTGCAGGGGAAAGGACCTTGTGGAACTGCAGGGAAAAGGGAATTTCCTGTGGATCTGCAGGGAAAAGGACCCTGTGGAATTCAGAGAAACAGAATTCCCTGTGGAATTGCAGGGAAAAGGGATTTTCCTGTGGAATTTCAGGGAAAGGGAATTCCATGTGGAACTGCAGGGGGGAAATGGAATTTTCTGCGGAACTGCAGGGAAAAAAAGAATTTCCCGTAGAATCGCAGGGGAAAGGAATTCCCTGTTGGATCTGCAGGGAAAAGGAATTCACTGTAGAATATCAGAGAAAAGGAATTCACTGTAGAATGTCAGGGAAAATGAATTCCTTGTGGAATTGCAGAGTAAAGGACCCTGTGGAATTCCCAAACTTGGACTAAAAGGTGATTTTTGCCTGGATCATTAGGATTGGATTTGATTTTGATTTTTCTTCGGCTCAGGTTTAGATGCTCAGGTGCAAATTGCAGATGGTAAAATTCAAAATACAAAGTGAGAAATTACAAGAGAGTGAAACCACAATTTCACTGTTCCGTTTTTATTTGCAAATAATGATAATAATAATAATAGTAACAATAATATTAATAATAAAGGCAGAAATCCATACCTGTGCTGGGACTTATCGAGAAAAACAAATCAGAAATAAATCCAGAAATTACAGGAACACAAAGCATTAAATATTGTCAATATAAAATAAAGCAGAGGGGTGTGCACAGCCCCTGTTTTCCCGTTATCCTGAGGAAGGAAAAGTCCTGGTGACATCCTGGGAGAGCAAATCCCTCTGGAGCTAGAGGAGCCAGACTCCAAATTATTGTTTAATAATAATAATATATCAATACTAATACATCAATAATATATCAATTACCAATAAATAATTGATAATTGCTGTGTGCCAAAAGTCACTGTGGGGCTGTGGGGCAGCGTGTCCCTCTCCCTTTCCAGGGATGGTTCCACTGTCCAGGCTGGCAGGAATCCTCTGGATTTGGATGCTGAAATCCTTTGGGATTTCAAAAATAAATCTGGAAATTACAGGAACACAAAACATTAAATATTATCAATAATAGGAATCCTTTGGATTTGGATGCTAAAATCCTTTGGAGTGACAGGAATCCTTTGGATTTGGATAGTAAAATCCTTTGGGCTGGCAGGAATCCTCTGGATTTGGATGCCGAAATCCTTTGGGATTTCAAAAATAAATCTAGAAATTACAGGAACACAAAGCATTAAATATTGTCAGTAATAGGAATCCTTTGGATGTGGCTGCTGAAATCCTTTGGATCTGGTTGCTGAAATCCTTTGGGATTTCAAAAATAAATCTAGAGATTACAGGAACACAAAGCATTAAATATTGTCAGTAATAGGAATCCTTTGGATATGGCTGCTGAAATCCTTTGGAGTGGCAGGGATCCTCTGGGCTGGCAGGAATCCTCTGGATGCGGCTGCTGAAACCTTTGGAATGTGAAAAATCTTTTGGATTTGGCTGCTGAAATCCTGGGGGCTAGCAGAAATCTGGATTTGGCTGCTGAAATCCTCTGGGCTGGCAGGATTCCTCTGGATTTGGGTGGTGAAATCCTTTGGGCTGGCAGGAATCCTTTGGATTTGGATGCTGAAATCCTTTGGAATTTCAAAAATTAATCCACAAATTACAGGAACACAAAGCATTAAATATTGTCAATTATAGGAATCCTTTGGATCTGGCTGCTGAAATCCTTTGGAGTGGCAGGAATCCTCTGGATTTGGCTGCTGAAACCTTTGGGATGTGAGAAATCTTTTGGATGTGGCTGCTGAGATCCTTTGGGCTGGCAGGAATCCTTTGGGTTTTGCTGCTGGGAGGAATCCTTTGGATTTGGCTGCTGAAATCCTTGGGGCTAGCAGAAATCTGGATTTGGATGCTGAAATCCTTTTGGGCTGGCAGGAATCCTTTGGATGTGGCTGCTGAAACCCTCTGGGCTGGCAGGAATCCTCTGGATTTGGCTGCTGAAGCCTTTGGGATTTCAAAAATAAATCTAGGAATTACAGGAACACAAAGCATTAAATATTGTCAACAATTGGAATCCTTTGGATCTGGCTGCAGAAATCCTTTTGGGCTGGCAGGAATCATCTGTCTGTGGCTGCTGAAATCCTTTGGGATGTGAGAAATCTTTTGGATGTGGCTGCTGAGATCCTTTGGGCTGGCAGGAATCCTTTGGATCTGGATGCCGAAATCCTTTGGAGTGGCAGGAATCCTCTGGATGTGGCCGCTGAAGTCTTTGGGGCTGGCAGAAATCTTTGGATTTCGATGCTGAAATCTTTTGGGCTGGGAGGAGTCCTTTGGATGTGGCTGCTGAGATTCTTTGGGATTTCAAAAAAAAATCTAGAAATTGCAGGAACACAAAGAATTAAATATTGTCAATAATAGGAATCCTTTAGATTTGGATGGTGAAACCCTCTGGGCTGGCAGGATTCCTCTGGATCTGGATGCTGAAATCCTTGGGGCTGACAGGAATCCTTTGGGTTTGGCTGCTGAAATCCTCTGGGCAGGCAGGAATCCTCTGGCTGTGTCTGTGGAAATCCTTTGGAGTGGCAGGAATCCTCTGGATGGGGATGCTGAAATCCTTTGGGGTGGATGCTGAAATCCTCTGGGCTGGCAGGATTCCTCTGGATTTGGGTGGTGAAATCCTTGGGGCCGACAGGAATCCTTTGGATGCGGCTGCTGAAACCTTTGGGATGTGAGAAATCTTTTGGATCTGGCTGCTGAAATCCTTTGAGCTGACAGAAATCTTTGGATTTGGATGCTGAAACCCTTTGGGGTGTGTGCTGAAATCCTTGGGGCTGACAAGAATCTTTTGGATTTGGGTGTTGAAATAATTTTGGGCTGGCAGAAATCTGGATTTGGATGCTGAAATCTTTTGGGCTGGGAGGAATCCTCTGGCTGTGGGTGCTGCCCGATCGGGCTGGGCTCCGGAGCACGGGGCGCTGTCCCGGTGCCCGTCCCGGTGCCCATCCCCGCTATCCCCGGCTCCCGCTGCCGATCCCCGCGGGCACGGCCCGCTGCTGGCGCTGGGCACCGCCGGGGCTGGCACCGGGTGGCGCCGCGGGGAACCCGCCCCAAGCGCTGCCCCCGGGGCAGGAGCTGCAGGAAAAAGCGCCGGGAGCTCCCCAGGGAGCCGGGAAGGGTCTGGAGCCCCCCGGGCAGGGTTCGCCATCCCGCACCAGCACCGGCACCGGCACCGTGCGCGGGGGCACCGCGGGCACCGCCGGCTCCGGGCGCCGCTCCCGCCGCTGCCGCTTGCTCTTGTAGCGCCGGTTCTGGAACCAGATCTTCACCTGCGCGGGGCTGAGCTGCAGCAGCCGCGCCAGCTGCTCCCGCTCGGGCCCGGACAGGTATCTCTGCCGCTGGAAGCGCCGCTCCAGCTCCAGCACCTGCGCCTGCGAGAACAGAACGCGCGGCCGCCGCCGCCGCCGCCGCCCCGGCGCCTCCCGGGGCTCCCCCGGCTCCGCGCCGGCCTCGGAGCCCGGGGCGAGCAGCGATGTCCCTGCGGCAGGGGGGGAACAGAGCAAAATCAGCCCCAAATCCGGCTCCGCTCCCAGCCAGAGGGGGGATCAAACCGGGAATGGCACCCGTGGGAATAGGGCGGAGGAGGGCCGACAGTTCGTAAAGTAAAGGTTGACACTTTGTAAATTTAATATGAATTTTCCCTTGATATTTATTGAGGACTCAATAAAAATTTCCCCCTCCCTTTCTACAATTTTAATTTTTTTTTTTATTAAGGTGTTACACAAATTCTGGATAAAGTTTCCTAATTTTTCCCCCTCCCTTTTTCTATTTTTAATTTTTTTTAATTTATTTTTTATTTTATTAATTTAGTTTTATTTATTTTTTTATTATTTTCTATTTTAAAATTTTTTTGTTTGGTAAATTTAGTTGGTAAATTTAATATGATTTTTCCTGTGATATTCATTGAGAACTCAATAAAATTCCCCCCTCCCTTTTTAAATTTTTTTAAAAATTTTATTAAGGTGTTACACGAATTCTGGATAAAATTTCCTAATTTTTTCCCCTCCCTTTTTATTATTTTAAAATTTTTTTTATTAAGCTGCTTGGTAAATTTGATATGAATTTTCCTGTGATATTCATTGAGAACTCGATAAAATTCCCTCCTCCTTTTTAAAAATTTTTAAAATTTTTTTTATTAAGGCGTTACACGAATTCTGGATAAAATTTCCCTTTTTCCCCCCCTCCATTTTTCTATTTTTAAAATTTTTTTATTAAGCTGTTTGGTAAATTTAATATTAATTTTCCCGTGATATTTATTGAGAACTCGATAAAATTCCCTCCTCCGTTTTAAAAATTTTTTATTAAGGTGTTACACGAATTCTGGATAAAATTTCCTAATTTTTCCCCCTCCCTTTTTCTATTTTTAAAATTTTTTTATTAAGCGGTTTGGTAAATTTAATATGAATTTTCCTGTGATATTCGTTGAGAACTCGATAAAATTCCCCCCTCCCTTTAAAAAATTTTTTTAATTGTTTTTATTAAGGTGTTACACGAATTCTGGACAAAATCTCCTTTTTCCCCCTCCTAATCTGAGGGGAGTTGCTGTTCTGGGGGATTTTTTTGATTTTTTAGGAATTTGTGCGGCAGAGGAGCGGCCGGGATCAGGTCCAGCTCCGGCTGGGATGCTCTGGGATACCCCGAAATTCGGGAATTCTGGAATTCCAGGGGTGCTGAAGGCTCTGGAAGGTTTGGAGGGGACAGAATCCTCCCCGGGCCCCCCTCCCAGTCTGCCCAGTGCTCCCGCTCTGTCCCCACTGCTTTCCCCACCTGTTCAGGGAACAGGAGCAGAGCAGAGGAAATTTTGGGAATTTTGGGATTTTGGCTGCGGGGAGAAGCGGAACAGCCCCGATCCCTCTCGGGGATGCTCCGCGCAGCGGGGCCGACTCGTGGAGCGCGACACGGGGGTGACATCGGGCAGGAAAAACCCCTGAAAATCCCAAATCCAGCCCCAACCCCGAGCTCCATCCACCCCCGGACCGTCCCGTTTCCCTGAGGGCACACGGAGCTGCGGGGATGCGCGGGGGATGCGCGGGGGATGCGCGGAGGGCGCACCGGGATGCCGGAAAATGCCCTAAACAGCCGTAAAAAAACCCCCCCAAAAACCAGAAAAACCCCAAAACAAAAAACAAAACCAAACAAAAAACAAAAACAAAAACAACAACAACAAAAAAACCCCACACAAAAACAAAACAACAAAAAAACCCCCAAAAAACAAAACAAAACAAAACAAAAAACAAAACCAAACAAAAACAAAACAAAAAAAACCCCAAAAAACAAACAAACAAAAAAAAACAAACAAAAAACCCAAAAAACCCCAAAAAAACCCCCAAAACACAAAAAAACCCCAAAAAACAAAAAACCAACCCCCCCCAAAAAAAAACCTAAACCAAAAAACCAAAAAACCCCACCCCAAAAAACCAAAAAAACCCAACCCCCCCCCCCAAAACAACAAAAAACCAAAAAAACAAAAAACCAAAAAAAAAAAAAAACCCAAACAAAAACCCCCCCAAAAGTCAGGGGGTAAAAACCCAGGAAAATAAAGGGAAAAGGGAGGATAAAGGGGAACCAGCGGCACCGGAGGGTGCGAGGACGCAGCGCCGCCCTCGGGGAGCGGGAGCGGCTCCGCGGGGTCCCCCCGGCGCTTCCCCCGCCCGTCCCGTCCCGTCCCGTCCCGCGGGGTCCCGCGGGCACTCACGCGGCCGCGGCTCGTCCTGCGCCGCTCGGGGATCGCCGGGAGCCTCCAGCTTGAGGATGTCCCGCACCGAGAAGGGCGTGGGCGGCATCTCCGGGCACGGGGGGCACCGGGCACTGCCAGCCCCGCTCCCGGCTCGGGGGGTCCGCGGGGCTCGGGGGCGCAGGAGGAGCGGGAGAAGGAGAGCAAGGATCAGGATCAGGGGGAGCAGGGGCAGTGCCGGGGGTCTCTCCCTGCCACCCGGGGGGCTCCGGCTGCCCCCTGAGCCCGGGGAAGGAGCAGCCCCTTCCCTTCCCTTCCCTGCGTGTTTCCAAAACAAGGCAGCCGAGGGAGGCAGGGAGGGAGGCAGGGAGGGGGGCAGGGGGTGCCGGGCTCTGGGCTGAGCCGCAATAAAACAAATCGAGTCCATTTGAGCTCCATTAAGGTCACATTAGCGAGCGGCTGCGGCAGATAAGCGCTGATAAGGAGCGCAGACCACCAAGCTCCTGCGGGAGGGGAGGGGACGCTGCCACAGGGACCTGGGACAGCCCCAGTTCCTCCCAGTTTGTCCCAGTTTGTCCCACTGGCAGAGCCTTACCGAGGCATGGAGAGGGGTCAGGGTGCCCCCATGGATCCGGGTCTGGTGCCCCGCGGGACAGCGAGGGGGTCCCCTCGGGCCGGGGGTGCTGCTGCTCCTTATCTGAGCCCAGGGAGCGGCGATTGCAATTAAAATTCCAGCCGGGCTCGGGGCGGGTGTCGCTGACAGCCCTGACAGAGCCGGGCCGGGCTGGGCCGGTGCCCCCGCCCCAGGGAGAGCGGCCCCGAGGGGAGGGTGGAAAAATAAACGGGGCAGGGAAGGGAGGGGCTGCGGCAGGAGGGAAAATAAATCCAGGGGATGGAGGAGAAAAGGGCTCGGAGCCCCCCACGGGTCCGTTCTGATCCCTGGGGAACGGCCGGGCTCGTTCCCAGCCCTGGGTTTGGATCGCGGTGCTTTCACATCCCTGCTCATGGGGTCCTGTCTAAGGGATTTGCCAGCGTTTCTGAGATTCCACGATTCCCATCTTCCAGACTAAAGTGGGAGTTTTGGCTGGACACACCACGGGAATCACCGAGCTCACCTCCCCAGCGTCTCAGGGCTCAGCATCCCCTCAGCGTCTCCTGAATCCCTTTGGTGGGGGAAGCCCAGGCCCTGCTCGGTGATTTCTTTCCTCCTACACTCTCCTCTGAGATTCCTTTTTCCTTTTCCTTTTCCTTTTCCTTTTCCTTTTCCTTTTCCTTTTCCTTTTCCTTTTCCTTTTCCTTTTCCCTTGCCTTTCCTTGCCTTGCCTTGCCTTGCCTTGCCTTTCTTTTGCCCTTTTTTTTTTTGTTGCCATTTTTGGTAAATTTCGCGCCATTTTTTGCCATTTTTGTGTCATTACACTCGCAGCCCACCCCCAAAATTCCCATTCCCACCGAGGAACGAGGCCGCAGCTCCTTGCCCCAGCCCTTCCTCAGACTGAATCCTCCCCCCGGTGCCAGCCCTGCCTCAGTTTCCCTGCTCCAAACGCCTCCCCAGCCCTTTCCCGGTGCCCGGGGGATCCATGGCCGGCTCTGGCCGCTTTGTTTGGGGCTGCGAGCGGACAGGGCTCGTTTTACACCTCGGCGCCGCTGTGAAATGCTTGGCTGGGATCGAGACGAGCAGGAAGGAATTGGGGGAAGCGGCTTCGCCCGCCCCTGCCGGCTCCGGGGTTAATGGGCGGGCGGGGTTTGGCTCTCGGCACCGCCGGGATGAGCGGCGGGAAATGGATTTTCGGCCCGGATCGGTGTCCCAGGGTGACTCTGGGGCCGTGTGGCCGCCCCGTCCCCTCTCCGTGTGCATCCCACAGGGCACACCCCGCCCTCCCTCGCTGGCAGGCGGCCTCTGCAGCGCCCGGGGGCTTGGGTGAGGCTCCTAAATCACCTCACAGGCCAAAACCTGCTGCTGAGCCTTCCTGGAGCATTTTTGGGGTTTTCCCAGTGGCAAACAGGAGGGATCAGGCCAAGCCCAAGGGGCTCAGGCTCTTCCCAAGTGCCATCCAGGAGGGACCCAACCCTTCCCAGGGGGAATCAGACCCTTTCCAAGGGGCTCAGACCATTCTCAAGTGCCATCTAGGAGGGATCACACCTTTCCTGAGGGGCTCAGACCGTTCCCAGGGATCTCAGGCTCTTCCCAAGGGGTTCAGACCCTTCCCAAGTGCCATCCAGGAGGGTTCAGAACATTCCCAAGTGCCATCCAGGAGGGATCAGGCCCTTCCCAAGAGGCTCAGACCATTTCCAGGGGTCTCAGGCTCTTCCCAAATGCCACCCAGGAGGGATCAGAACATTCTCAAGTGCATCCAGTAGGGATCAGAGCATTCCCAGGGGGCTCAGACCCTTCCCAGGGGACTCAGGCCATTCCCAAGTGCCATCCAGGAGAGACCAGACCCTTCCCGAGGGGTTCAGGTCCTTCCCAAGTGCCATCCAGAGGGGATCATGCCCTTCCTAAGGGGCTCAGACCATTCCCAAGTGCCATCCAGGAGGGATCAGACCCTTCCCAAGGGGGATCAGACCCTTCCCAGGGGTCCCAGGCTTTCCCCAAGTGCCATCCAGGAGGGATCAGACTCTTTTCAGGGGGATCAGACCATTCCCAAGTGCATCCAGGATGGATCATGCCCTTCCCAAGAGGCTCAGACCTTTCCTAGGGGTATCAGACTCTGCCCAAGTGCCATCCAGGGAGGATCAGACCCTTCCCAAGGGGTTCAGGCCCTTCCCAAGGAGCTCAGACCATTCCCAGGGGTCTCAGGCTCTTCCCAAGTGCCATCCAGGAGGGATCAGAACATTCCCAAATGCTGTCCAGTAGGGATCATGCCCTTCCCAGGGGTCTCAGGCCCTTCTCAAGTGCCATCCAGGGAGGATCAGATCCTTCCCAGGGAGGACCAGACCCTTCCCAGGGGGAATCAGACCTCTCCCAAGGGGCTCAGACCTTTCCCAAGTGCCATCCAGGGGGGATCACTTCCTTCCCAAGGGGCTCAGACCCTTCCCAAGGGGGATCAGACGTTTCCCAGGGGTCTCAGGCCATTCCCAGGGGAGATCAGACCCTTCCCAAAGGGCTCAGACCATTCCCAAGCACCATCCAGGGAGGGGCAGACCATTCCCAAGTGTCTCAGACCCTTCCCAGGGTCTGAGACCAGACCATTCCTAGGGGTCTCAGGCTCTTCCCAAGCGCTTCCCAAAGCTCTGGGCCAGAGTTTGGGCAGGGATGTCCCCGGGGAGTTCCTGTGAGAGCCTGGCAGGATCCATCTCGAATTCCCGGCAGGATCCATCTCAAACTCCCAGCAGGATCCATCTCAAACTCCATGCAGGATCCATCTCGAATTCCCAGCAGGATCCATCTCAGATTCCTGACCGAATCCATCTCAGATTCCTGGCAGGATCCATCTCAAACTCCAGGCAGGATCCATCTCAGATTCCTGACAGGATCCATCTCGAACTCCTGGCAGGATCCATCTCGAGTTCCCGGTAGGATCCATCTCAAACTGGCAGGATCCATCTCAAACTCCCGGCAGGATCCATCTCAAATTCCTGACAGGATCCATCTCAAACTCCCGGCAGAATCCAACTCAGATTCCTGGCAGGATCCATCTCAGATTCCTGACAGGATCCATCTTGAATTCCCGACAGGATCCATCTCGAACTCCCGGCAGGATCCATCTCAGCTCCATCTCAGACTCCCGGCAGGATCCACGGCCGGCTCCCCTCCATCCCGGCTCCCTCCGGCGCGGAGCTGATCCGGTTACGGCTCCCCAGGGCCATTACTCCTCTCTCTAACCAGGTTAGGTGAAACAGGGAGAAAACCATTTTGGGATGGCACCGGGGCGTTTCCATGGCAGCGGCGGCACCGCAGCCCCCGCGGTATCGGATTTCGGAGATATCTGGGATGCATCGGGAGCTGCGGGAGCATCCGAAGCGCTGGAAACCCGAACCCGCCTCTCAGAACAACCAACACCCCCCCAGAGCTTCAGCCCTGCCGCATTTGGGGTTTGAAGTGGCCAGGAGTGAGGGAAAAATGGGAATGTTGGCACTGGGAATGTTAGGAATGAATAAATGGAGTAATGAGGTGGCGCACAGGGGACTGTGGGGACCCCCGAGGGGTTTGGGGATGCTCTGGTACAGCTGAAATTCATCTTGAAAGGGTTTTCTGCATCCTGTGCTTCCTCCCGGCTCCTTTCTGTCCTTTTCCATCAGCAAAATAAAAGGAAAAGTGGAGAGGATGTGAGTGAGAAGGAGCTGCAGGGGGATGAGGGGAGGAGATTCCCTCCCCAGGGATTTCTAATAAACATCAGCGTGGGAAAAGAAGAAAAAAAATCTTCCGTTTCAGAATCCATGGGATAGAAATATGAAAGTTTAGTGGATTTTTGTAAGGAACCTGCTCTGTGCCTCTGGGGTGGAGCTGGGTGTCGGGACATCCTGATGAACCCCAAACTGGGCCAGACTCTCATCTCCTGTGCCCATTTTATCTCTTTTTCCCCCAATTTTCCCGTTTTGAGCACTAGCTCAGTGCTCTCCATCATTGCTCTGTTCGGCTGGGAGTTATTCCCACTTTTGAACTTATTATTCCTGCATTTTTAGGACCCGTTGGAATCAGGGGGGTGAAGGGGACACAGGTTTGGTTTCTCAGCTGCTGCTGGGATTTCTGGATTTTGGGATGGGCCCAGAGAGCAGAGCCCCGGCTGGAATCGTGAGCCAGCAGTGCCCTCTGCTTGGCCAGCCGGGATCTGCAGCTTTGCTGCTCCAAATCCCCAAAATCGGGGATTGGAAAGGTGGAAAAATCCCCCCTGTGCTCCTCCAGGCCCCGTTACAGAGCAGCGAGGGGGAATTGTTGATTTTTGGGGCTTTGCGGTGTCACGGGGGGTAAAATCCAGCGGGGTTCAGAGTGCTCGGAGTTGTTTTTAAACGGGATTTTTTCGGTGAAGCCTCGTGGATGATTCTGGTCCGGTGTTGGGAGCAGGGTGAGGGAAGGAAGGAACCGGGGGATGCTGGAGGAGGAGCGGGGAGGCTCCGGGGCTGCGGGGACACCGAGCTGTGGTCAGCAGGTGGCACAAGAGGAATGGAAAA